ACCTCAGCCCCGCAGCGCAACTTCCCGGGGCGGCCCATGGCCACCCATCTGCTTCCCCCCATAGAATCATAGAGTTGGAAGAGACCACAAGTGCCATGTAGCTTGTAGTTTAAAAAAAAAGATGGCATATATATATATATATATATATACATATACATATACACACACACACACACACACACACACACACATAAAAAACTAAATCCTAATCTAACTGATGATATTTTAGGTAAAGAGAGAAAATCTCACAATTTTTATGATAGCAGGGAGATGGGGCAGCAATTGTTAGAAACTCCAGAGAGAGAATACAATTAGTCTCAAAAGACAGTTAATCTTAAAGGGAGAGTAACTAAAGTAGGAATCCCTATCTATATAAGGAGGGAAAGGAGAATGTAAACATATTCCAACAGGGAGTTGTGTGGATGCTTTGTTGTGTGGACTCTCGTTGCTCCCTCTTGTGCTCTTTGGTCCAAAACAGTGGTTGTGACGATCAGAAGGACATTGAAACACTCTGCCTGGAAGGGTGCTAGTGGGCTTGTAGCATCAGGGACATTGCTCACTTTGTCACTGGAGCAGACAGAGTGCTGTATTCTGGTGCTGAGGCATGTCCAGATCATTGTGAATCCATTGATTCCTTTCATATATGAGTGGCATGTGAGCATGAGGTATACCATATGGCACCACCATGCCTTGTTTGGTGGACATAGACACAAATGTCAGGAAGGGGGAGTCATTTTTACACTTTTTAATGAGTTCCTGCATGGCAGGGAGTTGGACTGGATGGCCCTTGTGGTCTCTTCCAACTCTATGATTCTATGATTCTCCTCTCCCTTTCTGGGTTGAATACACATTGGCAGGCTTTCCAGTGGCCTGTCTCTAGTTCGAGCTTAACATAAGCATTGGGTTACTTTGTCAGACTGCCTGCAAATCCACTGGAGTGTTCTGAGAAGTGCAAAATCCAGTAAGATCAGATCTATATATTAGTCTGATGAGAGCTTTGGATCAGTTCATTTTGTGTAGGAATTTGTAAGTATAAAATTCCTCAAGCATCCCTTGCCACAACTAACAATCCATTACAATGCCAAATAAGCTTCCAGCAGTTTCTTTCAAATCAATACATCAATTCCTGCCTTCTTCATCTCTGCAGCTTCCAGCAATGCATCTCAGTCTGCTGTTCCATCTCTCCTCCAGCCATCTTTCTCCTTCCCTCTCTGGGAGAGAGGGAAAGGAAGATGAGGACCTTGATTCTGGGGACAGAGAAAATAGTATATTCATGCATACTAGGTACAGGATATTTTCCTGTATGTTGTATGCATAAATGTGCTGTGTTCAACATTGCTTAACTGTACAGACTAGGCAAAGCTTCCCAACTCCCTTCACAATCCAGCCATGAAGACCTTCTGTCCATTTCTCTTTCTGGTGTCCTAAAGTTGGACAAAAGCCCAAGAAATGTCAAGGTGACAATTGTTTTTTGACAATAGCTACCAGAACACTTTTAAAATGCCGTTTAGGCTTAGCAGTGATCTATATTAAGCAATAGCCTGCAGCAATTAAACTATATCTTTGTAAGCTGTTTGGGCACAGAGACTGTTCTTTCTTCTGTCTGTTGTTGTTGCTGCAGCAATGTAAGCAACACTTTTCATCATCTACTGGTGGCTGATGGGGCCCACCACCCTTGCAAGGCACACTGCCTGGAGCTTTGAGCAGTGCTGAGTGACTGGGTGCAGCTGCCATTTTAGTTTCCCATAATGCACCAAAGCAACATTATAACCATGGTATTGTGAGAGATTTAACCCACACTGATGCCTAGCCAGCCACCACCACTTGGAGCATTGCATTTGTCACTGCTGCCTACCAGCCACGTCTAAGTTATTCTGCCAAGAAATGATGGGGCTCTGGCTCAGACCTAGAGCTACGTCTGTTTTGTTCAGTTAGGAAACTCTGTAAACATAGACTGCATGATATAAAAATCTATAAATCCCGCTGAAGTTAATTTGTGTTATGCAGTCATAAACTACTGAGAGTTTGCACCCTAATTATCCACTGCATATTCTGTTCTCATTACTTGTGAATTCCAATGAAGTCTTGCTTCAGATCATTCTGGATAGCTAATTGCCTTCAGTGGCTACTGTTTAGAGTAATCATCTAGATTAATTTACGTATTTGTAGGCCTATGTATTGAAAAATGCAAAAAGGAGGTAACCTACTCCAGCAACTGCTAGTCCTTAAGAGTTTGTGTTAGTTGTCAGTGTTAGCTTTTGGTATGCTTTGTGCTATGCAGTGGTGTTTGTGGTTGTGTTCCTTTGGTCCTAGCCTGGATTCTTGTTTATCTAATTTATAACCTGATTAAAACTATTAATTTTAGACCACTGAGCAACTCAGAATGCCAAGTCATCATTCTAAGGATTGTAAGCAAGCTGTCCCATTGCACTTATGCTAAAGCTTGTTATTTCACTAGTTCAGTGTATCACATAGCTGGATGAACACATCTGCAAGCAAACAAAAATGGCAGACATATGACTGCCTACAGAGAAGGGGAAAATCTACATTTTAGATCTGATCAATTAAGAAGGAATTAAAAAGCCTTTTTGAAGGCCTCTCCTAGACCATCCCCCACATCTCTATAAAGATTCCTTCACTATGTTTTCATCTTTCCCTGTTTCTTCACATAAATGAACATTTCTTCCCCATTTAAACACCTCACACCCTGGCTTGACTCCATACTGTCTGGATAGCACTGATGCATTCCATTTGGGTAATCAACATTCTTTATGCTTTCAGGCATAAAAAGCCAAGGTATCTTATTCTGGAAGCAAGAGCATCCATCTTTTATGGGCCACTGCTCCCCTCATTGTAGATTGACCTTAAAACAGCACATCAAGCACACTGAGCAGTTTTCAGACTTCACGGCTGCAGTTGGCGATGCGTGCCATCTACAGCATCATTAGAGAGTTCAAATTGTGATAACACCTGCAACCAAGGAGGAGAGGCATCTCTAGAGCAATTTCTTTTCACTGCTATGAGCTCCTTGATATGGCAAAAACCATTCACTAAAATTCAAAACTTTAAAGAATTTTCTCTTGAGTGTGTGTGTGTGTGTGTGTGTGTGTGTGTAGAAGCAATATGATGCAGTGGTTTGAGCATTGGACTACAACTCTACAGACCAGGGTTCAAATCCTGGCTCATACTGTTAGAACAATGTTCTTTTAAACTGTGTAAAAATATTTTGTATGGCTAAGATTACTAAGTCACAGCACCTGACATGATGCAAAGGCTTGCAAAAGAGATTGCATCATGTTAAGTGGCAATAGGCTGTGACCATTATGCTACTCTCTAGATAAGAGACTCAATGCATGTGTGGGTTGATGATAGTAGGTTGGAGAGTGTGGGTTGGAGAAGGTGGTTGGATTGTTATATTACAGACGGTGAATGTTGAGAGGAGAGTTTTGTACATACTAGTAAATATTGCTATTGCAACTTATGATAAATAACCTCCAAAGGCTTGGAAGATATCAACAAGTGTCTGTAAGTTTATTCAAGTGTGGTCAGTGCATTGCCAATACTTGAAATGAAATGGTGCTTCTGTATTCTGCTACTGTTAGCTACTTCTGAGAGTGTTTACCTCAGTGCTGTAAGTTGGCATCTCTGGTGGGCCAAAAGGATTTTTTGTTTGTTTGTTTGTTTGTTTGTTTGTTTTGTTACTGCATATCCAGCAGGACAGAAGAGAGCCAACACAGACATGTAAATCCACTGGGTGACCTTGAGCGAGTCATATGCTCTTAGCCTCAGAGTATGGCAATGGCAAACTCCCCCTGAAGAAACTTGCCAAGAAAACTCCATGATAGATTCACCTTAAGGTCATCATAAATCAGAAACAACTTGACAGCACACAACAACAATGAATCTGTACATCCACACCCTCTTGCTTTTCTCACTTAATTTGACTATTTTTTTTTTACTTTGTCTGCATGTAAATCCCTTGCACATACTGCTTTAAAGAAGTCCCAGTTTCATTTTTAATGATTCATTTTATCATTATAGCTTGATGGTTTATGATTAATTACTATCAGTCTAATAGCATAGACCACAGTGCTGGCAAGTAGCTATAGTCAGCATCAGGACTTCTGAACAGGCAGCTGGTATTGGTATTCAACATGAATAGTTTAACAGTGAAATCAGCACTGGAGTTTATACTGAACGGAAGGGCCACTACTAATTTGCATATTTAATTAACTTAATTGGAAATTTTGACAGTTGTCAGGGTGGGAATTGTGACAAGTCCTATCTCTCTGGCTTCCAACAGCCTTTCAGACAGAAGAAGAAAAAACACCCCCCAAAAAACAAAAAGAACCCCTTTCTCCGCTCTGATTCTGCCAAGCCCAAATGTTCAAAAACAGACTATCATGAATATCCTTTCATTTGCCTTCTGGTTTCTGAGTTTCTTTTTCATGGATTCATTGCCAGCATATTTCCTGTATCTTCACTGCAATTGACAGGTGCAACAGCTATTTAAAGGGGGAAAAATAAGATTGCTGTTTGAAAAAGAGTTCTTAGCCAAGGAAAAAAATATTTCATGGTATACAGATTTGCCACTCGTGTGCTAAATAAGACCTGCTAATCTAAATTGTTCATGGGCTGCACTACAACACACAGCAAACTACAAGTACCCTAGCCCTACTGTACATACTGTACTCTTTTTAAGCAGATTTTATTCCATAGTAATAATACTCCTTTAGAAATGTCTGTTTACAAAATAGAAGTCTCTTCTGTCATTTAAAAACTGTCATATAAGTGGGAAATGTAATAGTCTTAGCATCTTTCTCTTGTTTCTTCCTTTAGAGATACATTTATTACAAGAAAGAAAGAGAAGGCTGGGGGGGGGCAGAGAGAACACAAGGAATAAGGAGCTATCATAGCTATTTTATTTTTTATTTCTCTGTATTATGTACACATTATAAAAACATTTGTAAAAATATTAATATGGTACCTATAAATTGAGAGCCAGTGTAGTGCAGTGGTTTGAACATTGGACCGTGACTCTGGAGACCAGGGTTTGAATCTCCGCTCAGCCATGGAAACCCTGTGGGTGACCTTGGGCAAGTCATAGTTTCTCAGCTTCAGAGGAAAGGAAAGTCAAACCCTCTGTGAATAAATCTTGCCAAGAAAATGTTTTGATGGATTTGTCTTAGGGTCGCCATAATTTAGAAATGACTCAAAGGCATGCAACAACCTATAAGGTACCTAAGATATCTGTAAGGTTCCTATGATATGAATACATAGACAATTCCCCCTAAAAAGTGGGCAGGGAAAAAACTATTGGTGTTTACTCCCTTCTTTTCTCATCATATTTCTGTATGGCTACCAGCCAGTCTTCTGAAAACCCAAATATGTTGTTCTTTAGTGCAAATTTTGCACAAAAACCACAGCAAAAAAAAAAAAAAAAATCCACACCGCACAAAAAAGCTGCAGCCTGTCCTCCCCACATCTCAGAACATTCACACCCTGATACCTATAGTTTTTTTTTCAGCTGTACACCAGCCAAAATAGCAACTCCTGGTGTACCTGGGCAGGGAGTGAAAGTTCCCCCTGTCTCAAATACTTAATTTGAGTATCCAAATGGATCTTGTACACCTTTGAGATTAACTGTGCCAAAAAAAAAAGTTGTAGCATAAGCTTTTGTAGACTTGGGAGTCAAACAGACTGCCCCCCAAAAAGCAGCATCACACCACCCCTTTGATCACTGGGTTGGGGCTGCAGCAACCACATGGTATGCCCTCAACCCAGCATTTTGCCACTGCAAAAAGAAGTGGCAAAAAGCTGCTCCTTTTTGCACTGGCAAAAAGCTGGCTTTTGCACTGTGGCAGCGGCTTTTTGGCATTCTTGCAGTATCCAGCATCTAAACACCATGACGCTAGAGCACCAAAAAGCTGCCACCATGTAAATGGCTGGGTGGCTTCACAGCGGCCTCCTGGAAGCTTGGGGGCATGCGTCGTCTAAACAACATGCCCCCAAGCCACTGGGAAGTCGCCACAAAGGGGCTGTCTGTTTTGCCCCTTGGTCTACTTCCTCAGATGCATGGAGTGGACTGGTGCCCTGGAAGAACCTTTATAATCAGACTATATGAATAGGCATAGAAATGCAAAACTTGTGGGTATAATGATGAGATGACATTCAGTTTTACATATGGTCCTTGAGGGACGAAGGTTGGAGGAAAGATATTACCTAAGGCTAGGGGGGTTGGATGCACTTGTGACTGGTGAAATGAGTTTTGGCTGGGAGCCAGAAAGGAGATAAGGTAAACTGATTAAGAGGGGCTTTGTGAGGCTGGAGTGTTAACCAGTTCTATAAAATGTTTAGTATGCCAGGAGACCCTTGTCTCTATTCAACCCACTGTTGATGGATTGTAATTTGTGATATATTCTGATTCAGCTCTTTCCAATACTTCTTTGTAGGTTTTGTTTTGTTTTGCTTTTATTCAAGGACTGCTGAGGTATGAGATGGAATACCCAAGAAGATTTAAGTGTTCTGCAACAGGATTTCATGTATTCCCATTCCTAATATCTGATTTACATCCATTTATCATCTGGCACAAAGTGTGGCCTGTTTGCCCAATACAGAGTGCTGAAGGGCATTGTTGACAGTGGATGGCACATACCATATAGAAGTTGAGCAAGTAAAAGTGCCTCTAATATTGTGGATTATGTGATTAGGTCCAGTTATGACATTTCCAAAGTAGATGTGTGGGCAGAGTTAGCATCTGGGTTTGGCAAGGTCTTGTATCCATCTCCCCAACTGTGTTGTGTGTCATCCTGTATGTAACTCTTACTTTGAGATGACATGGTTATTGTCCAAAATAGATAGTATTTCATTGATGATAAGTCTTTGTGGTCTCAGATTGGGAGCCGTATGTGATCACTAGTGGAGTTCTGCAATTTCCTGTCTTCAGTGTGTTCTAAACAAATTGATCCAAACAAAGTCTTGCCTTATTAATTTTTTTCTTTACTTCATATGGTGGGTACTGTAACTTAAAAAATGCTTGTTGTAATTGTGTTAATTCTGTGACCCTGTCCTGCAGTTCTGAACAGATGCAATTGTATCTGGGGGCTTGGCTGTAAACTATGGATTTGATAGTGTATTCCAGGTAAATATGTGTAGCAGTCAGTGGGTTTGCAATATAGGGTGGTGTTCAGATGTCTATTGGGCAGCTGTATGGTGGTGTCCAAAAAGTGGACTTCCTCTGCAGATAGTTCCGGGCTGAGACTGATGATGGGGTGGAAGTTGTTGAAATTCTGGTGGAGTATCTTGAGTGAGTCCTCTCCATGAGTCCAGTTATGGAGACCTCATCAGTGTACCTCAGGAAGAGGGGAGGTTTCTGGGTGCAGGAATTAAGGAAGCATTGCTTTAAGTCAGCCATGAAGATGTTGGCATATTGTAGGGCCATTTGTGTGCCCATGGCAGCACCGTTGACTTGAAGGCTGTAAGGTAGTTGTGTGTAAGAATAAAGTAGCAGCCTTTGGTGGCTATGGTCCCATCTGGAATGATGTTCCTGACAGCTTGTAGTCTATCTTTGTGCTGGATGGTAGTTTATAGGGATTCTCCATTCTTGGTAGCTAAGATGGTGTTCATCTTAGTGACAGTCATCTAGTTAAATCAAATGAGATTTCAGCAAGTGGTGCAGGTAAATTCAGCTTAATCATTCTCCCAGAGTAGAACTCAAGGCAGCTTACAAAAAGGGAAACGATACAATAAAACACATAGTTCAAAACATACAAAATTAAGATTAAAACAATATTAAATAACAGCAGAATTAAAACAAATGAAAATCTTACTTTAAAACTTTAAAAACAGAAGGCGCCATAAAAGCCCTTTTCTTGTTAAAATCAGTTTCCAAAGGCTAGCTGGAAAAGAAAAGTCTTTAGCTGCTGCCGAAAGGAAAACAAAGAAGGAACTATCCTAACTTTCCTAGGTAAGAAGTTCCAAAGTGTGGAAGCAGCCACAGAAGAGGCCTGTTGGCTTTTCAACAGGTGATTTTTGAAGCCACCCTTCACATATTGCCTTGGCTCCAAACCAAGCATTGTAGAAACAGACAGTTCTCAAGTCAGCCTCTGGCTGGAAGTGCAACCTGGGTGTCATGTCCTCCTCTGGTGTAATAGGTAAGCAGGGATGCCTGCCACCATTGTCATGACCACCACAGCCACTCTTCCACTTACCCTAGGAGGTCTTGGATACTTCTCTGCTCAAGCAATGAACTTCAAACTTCTTGCACAACAAGTTGTGCAAGTCATTTGGTAGTAGAGAATCCTGGCCCTGGTTTTAATTGGCCTCAAGCCACTAATTGGTTGAGTGCGTGAATTAATTTACTAAAAACTAAACAAAACAGAGTATACATCCAGAAATGAGATCCTGAAGCCATTAAATAAAGTAACAAAAGTCTCATTGATTAAATTTCTACCTACTGTTCCTGGGCATCTGAAAGCCACATTTATTTGAGCTGATGGCTCCCTTTGAATTGTGCTTCCAATTAGAGATAAACGTATTGGCTAGCTTTTGAATTTGCTAATGTAAACTTGTACTATGTTTACTGATTTCCAAGGAGCTTACATCACTGTTATACAGAGAGAGTGGCTTCATTCATAAGCACTCTGAATATGGGATAATTATATTATTGGGCTTTGATTGAAAGGTTATTATGCAAAAAATATGCTGGGTAAGAGTGGTGTTCCTTGCTGAAAATCATTTGTATGCTTTTCCAGAAACAACTAAAAAAAGCTTACTTTCCCTCCTAGTGTAAGGTTTTGGCTACTGCTGATCCAGCACTGGTTGTATGCTACAACCTGCCCATGTAAAGAGGGGAGGTTGTTTGGTCCAGCAGGATAATCTACAATACATGCTTCGGAGAATGGGATAAAATGTTACTTTTGGAAATTCCTTTGCATTGAGAATAAAATCTGTCTCTTCCCAAAAGCACTGAATTATCCAGTCACTTTAAGGTCAGAAAGCAAAATACATCTCTGTACAACATACGCCAACACTGTTGTTGTTATGTGCCTTGAAGTCATTTCCAATTTATGGCAACCCTAAGGCAAAGCAATCATGGGGTTTTCTTGGAAGATTTGTTCAGAGGAACTTTGTCATTTTCTTCCTTTGTGTTGGAGAGAGTTTGACTTGCCCAGGGTCATCCAGTGGGTTTCCCTAGCTGAGTGGGGATTGGAATCCTGGTCTCCAGAGTCATATTCCACCACTCAAATCATTACACTACACTGGCTCTTTAGCAGTGATGTATGGTACAAAAGCATGGTACAAAAGTAAAGCTATTCTATTTGGTTTTGCACTGTCCTTTTTGAATCACCATGCCACTAGATTTGGGAAACACAACCAGGAATTTGCAGCTGCAGTCCAAAAAATAAAGCAACTTTTCTGTTGTATTTGCTCCTTAGTGGTTTCTACAAAGTAGTCAGGGCCTGCTCTTTAATGTGCATCACTGATCACTCTGGGCTCATTCACACTAGCGTTTTTGTGACAAATAGCTCTGAGGAGATTCGATGATGTAATACTGAATCAAAGTTCCTACTATGTTTATCCTGATCTAATCACTCCATGGCAGTTTAACCCTAATGAAGTTCACATTACCATCTGTATCAATTTAAAATGGAGCCTCTTGGGTTGTTGTTTTTTAACTGTCAATCAAATGATGCACATCTACATCACAAAGTTTGACCAACCAACCCCTCTCCATATCAACCTCGGAGGATGGCAATGGCAAGCCCATAGAACAACCCTTAGCAAGAAACCCTAGGATAAGTTAGCCTTGGGGGAGTCACACTCTCTCAGCCATATAATAATATAATCTCTCAGCAATATAATATGTGTGCAAGAGCTTTAGTTTGCACCAGCTTGGGAGCAGTGTCTATTGTGGTTTTATTTCTTGGGAAAGAGGGAAAAATGACCCCCTAACCCACTGCCCCACTGATAGGGTTTGTTTTTTTTGAAAATGTCAAGCAAATCCTGCACATCTTTGTCATATTGATGACGCGAGTATTTAAAAATGCTGTCTATTGTGGTCATGCAATAG